TATCTATCTATCTATCTATCTATCTATCTATCTATCTATCTATCTATGTATCATCTATCTGTCATCTATCTATCTATCATATATATATACAGTAAATTTTTAATATCTCATTAAGGTATTAGCTAAATGATTATGGTAGTTTCTAATTTTGTACTTTGTAATATGAAGTTCTAGCTGAGCAGAATCTTGACAAATTGCCATACAGAGAAGGTCAACATCCCTTTTCCTTGTGCATCAATGGGTACCCACTGGTTTACAAGGGACTGAGGATTTCGCGGGAGGGGTAACCCCTAGATCTTTGCTTCACCAGGGATTTAGTCAGGAATAGACAAAAAGAAGTGTGTGAGACGGCCAAGACAGACTGATGGGAGTGGGGGGCCGGAGAAGGCACAGTCTAGAGGGAGGAATCCCAATGGCAAGGCTGGTCTTTAGCCTTAGGAGACCACAGTCAATCCACGTCATGAGAAAGCCCTGACCTAGAGAGAAACAAAAACATGCCTGTGTTACATGCACCATTTTCTGCAAGTCTGTAATACTCTAGGGCCAGCCACCCAGAGTACCTGAACATGACAAGAGGAAGATAGCTCTCTACTTCCTGCTTTGGAAGAGGATGCTGGCAGGCATCACAGGCTGTCATGGCCCTTGGTATCTATCCTATAGAACCAATACCATGGGTCAACTGTGACGGCAGGAAAAGCTTTCTTACAGCTTGTAGCAAGGCACTAGCAATGGTTTCCTTCAGTTTTATAGTAACACTTCACCCTAAGCCTTGATGCTGAACACACGGACTGGCTTACTTCCTGTTTTTCAAAGCATCTTTGACTGGATAGCCACCCAAGGCTCTCCACTCATGCACTGATCTGAGTTTCTAACTCATAGCTGAGCTGCCATCGTGGGTCCAGCCAAGCTCACCAATCCCGATGCTGGTGGCAGAGGGTTTAGAACACAGGTCTGGCCACACAGCACGCAGGTATTCTTAAAGGGACCTCCCTGCCTGCCACCCTAGAACCTTCCACCAGAGTTTCCTGAAGCACTCACAGTCATTTTGCGTTCTTCAATCCTTCTGATTCCTTAGTTTTTATTCTTTTTCTTTTACAATTTTGTTATATTTTTATTTTTTTGTGTGCATGAGTGTTTGTGAATGAGTGTGCACATGCATGCCAAGGCACACGTGAGGTGGTCAGAGAAAAATCTTCAGGAATCCATTCTCTCCTTCCACCATACAGAACCTAGGGATGGAACTCGGATGGTCGGGCTTGGCGGCAGGCACTTTTACCCCCTAAGCCATCTCACCAGGCCGTGTGTGTCTTGGGGTTACTATTGCTGTGATGGAGCACCATGACCAAAGTCATTTGGGGAGGAAAGGGCTTATGTGGCTTATGCTTCTACATCACAGTCACCACTGAAGGAAGTCAGGACTGGAACTCAACCAGGGCAGGGACCTGGAGGCAGGAGCTGATGCAGAGGCCATGGAGGAGTGCTCCTTACTTGCTTGTTCCCCATGACTCACTCATCCTGATTTCTTATAGAACCCAGAACCACCAGTCCATGGAGGCGAGGCCCTCCCCCATCAATCGCTAATTAAGAAAATGCCCTACTGGCTTGCTTACAGCCCAATCTTACAGAGGCATTTTCTCAACTGAGGCTCCCTCCGCTCTGATGACTCTAGCTTGTGTCAAGTTGACATAAAACTAGCCAGGCTACTGTTGTTGTTCTTTTGCTTATCTTCCAGTGTAAACACCATAGAAGGGCTGTCCTGGTCTGTTTATCTTTGTGTGCCCTGCCTGGATCAGTAACTGGTACAGAGTGTTCAATATACATTAAGTTAATCCACTTTGTGAGTTTCTTGGAAATATTTGGGGGAAGACAAAAACTGTCAAAATCTTTAATTACAGACTAGGGAAATCTAGGACTTTTCTTTATGTTGTAACAACCCTAAAATGGAAGTACTCTGACATGCTTAATTTTTTTTTTTATACAAGAAAACCAAGGGATTAGAGTAAAGGCAACTTGCCTCTGGCCCCATAGTAGACCCCAGCCAGTAAAACTGGTATAAGAAATTTAGAATTAAGTAAAAAAAGAAAGAAAGGAAGAAAGGAAGGAAGGAAGGAAGGAAGGAAGGAAGGAAAGAAAGAAAGAAAGAAAGAAAGAAAGAAAGAAAGAAAGAAGAAACTGTAGATGCATTTCTATAGTGAAGGTAGGAGGCAGGGAAAACCATAACTAGTATGGTAGGACAGGGAAGAAGGGGTAGTAAGCAAAGCAGAATGTTACACATATTGCAACCTCAGCATTTGGGATGCTGAGACCGTAAGATCATGAACGTGAGGCCAGTCTGCGCAACTTAGTGAGATCTCCTTTCAGAAAACAAAAGAGGAGCTCCTTTTTATGGTGCCTCCGAGGCAGTCTGCCATGTCGAGATGAAGCAGACTATCTCCATTCCACCCACTGGCTGTCAGAAACTCACTGGAGTGGGTGATGAATGCACACACTTTATCCGAGAAATGTGTGGTCACAGAAGCTGATGCTCTGGGTGAGGAGTGGAAGGGTTATGTGGTCCAAACAGTGGTGGGAATAACAAACAAGGTTTTCCCAGGAAACAAAACGTCTTGACTCGTGGATGAATGTGCGCTCACTGTTGAATCAGAGCATTTTTGTTCTAGAGGAAGGAGACCTGGAGAGAGGAAGGACATGGCTGTTTATGGATGCAGTGTGGATGTCAACCTGAGTGTTCTCAACTTGATTATTGTACAAAAAGGGGAGAAGGGTATTCCTGGACAGACAGATAGTACTGTGCCTTGGCAGTTGGGGACCAAGAAAGCTGGCAGAATCTGAAAGCTTTTCTGTCTCTCTAGAGAAAATGATGTCCTCCAAAATGCTGTCAGAAAGCCCCTAAACAAGGTCAGAAGCCCAGGACCAAAGCACCCAAGATTCAGCCTCCTGTTACTCCACGTGTCCTGCAACACAAATACTGACATATTACTCTGAAGAAACAGCACACCAAGAAGGAGGAGTCTGCAGAATATGCTAAACTTTTAGCCAAGAGAATGAGGAAGCCAAAGAAAAATGTGAGGAACAGATTGCAGAGAGATGTAGGCTGTCCTTGCTGAGAGCTTCCACTTCTGTGTGGGGGTGGGGGAGCTTTTAGGAGTTACAAATAAAGCTAGACAGTGGTGGGGCACACCTCTTATCTCAGCACTTGTGAGACAGAGGCAGGCAGATCTCTGAGTTCGAGACCAGTCTGGTCTACAGAGCGAGTTCCAGGACAGTCAGGGTATACAGAGAAATATTGTCTTGAGGTGGGAGGGGGTAGTAACAAATAAGAGATCAGAACTTGAAAAAAGAATGAACAAAAGAAAGAAATAAAGAAAAAAGGAAAGAAGGAAAGAAAGAAGGAAGGAAGGAAGGAAGGAAGGAAGAAGAATAAGGAGGGAAGACAGACACAAAAAGGAAAAGAAGATGAAGAAGATGGGGGTACTGGGGAAATGGTTCATCAGGTAAAGTACTTGCTATTTAACTTGAGGAACTAAGTTCAAATACCCAGGGCCTGCATAAGCTGGGCACTGTAGCATATACCTATAATCCTAGCCCTCCTACGGCAGCAAGCAACAAAACTCTGATCCAAAATAAGTTGGAAGGCAAGGATCAATACTGGGTGTTGCCCTGAGAACTCTACACATACACATGGAGACACACACATCGTGCAAACACACACAAAAGAAGAAAAGCAAAAAACCATGAACACGGATTAAAAATGTGAGAGACAGAACTAAAAACATTAAACGTATTAAGAGAAGAAGTTCATGTAATCAAGTGAGAAGCAAAGGGAATCCTCAAAGAGAGGAAGCTAAGTAAACAGAAGGCTGGCTTGTTGAAAACCAAGGAAGAAATGGCCAAGGCCTTATAGCTTTTAGAAAACCTTTTGTCTTATTTATGTTTCTATTGAAGAGACACCATAACCATGGCAACTCTTATAAATTTAATTGGGACACATTTAATTGAGGGGGCACACTTACAGTTTTGGAGGTTCAATCCATCATCACCATGGCGGGGAGCCTGGCTGCACGCAGGCAGACACGGCAATGAAGTCGTCGCTGAAAGTTCTACATCTTGCAGGTGACAGGAAGTTGTCTGAGACACCGGACAGTATCCTGAGCCTAGGAAGCCTCAAAATCCTCTCCCACAGTACCATACTTCCTCCAACAAGGCCATTCACTCCAACAAAGGCACACCTTCTAATAATGCTACTCCCTATGAGATTATAGGGGCTGATTGCATTCAAACTACCACATTCCACACCCTGGCCCCTATAAGCTGGTGACAATATCATAGTGAAAAATGCATTTAGTTCAAAATTCGAAAGTCCCCATTATAGTTGGAATTTTCTTTAGGCCACCAACCAGCTCCCAAATAAAGACATTAAAACTTATTATTAATTATGAATGCTTGGCTTTAGTTTAGGCTTGTTCTACTAGCTCTTTTAACCTAATTTAACCTGTTTCTATTCATCTACATTTTACCTCAGGGCTTTTTTTAATTCTTTCTTCCATTCTCCATGTCCTATTTTTCTGCTTTCTACGTGTCTGTCTGTCTAGTTTCTGGCATTCCATGTTGTCTCCTTTTCTTTTTCCTTCCCTTTTAGAACCTAAGTTCCTCCTACGTATTCTTCCTGTCTGCAAGTTCTGCCTATACCTCCTTCTCTGCTTTTAGTCTTTCAGCTTTTTATTAGACCAATCAGGTGCCTTAGGCAGGCAAGGTAAAACAGCAACATCTCTTTACATAATTAAGCAAATGTAACATGTCTTTACACACTTAAACAAATGCTCTACAATAGAAACAAATGTAACGCATTGTTGCATAGTTAAGCAAATGCAGCACATCTTTACATAGTTAAACAAATATTCTGCAACATCCCATAGTCTATTAGTCTCAACAATGTTTAAAAGTCCAAAATTCAAAGTTTCTTCTGAGATTCATATAGTCTCTTAACTGCAATCCTCTGTAAAATTAAAACTAAAAAGCAGATCACATATTTTCAACATATAATGACACAGAATATGCATTACTATTCCAAATGTAGGGAGGAGTGAATAGTGAGGAAATACTGGACCATAATGAGACTGAAAACCAGCTGGGCAAACTTCAAACTCTGCGTCTCCATGTCTGATGTCAAAACACTCTCCACATCTCCACTTCTTTCTCTTGGGCTGCTTCTACTCCCTGTTAGCAGCTCTCCTCCACAGGTATCCCATGACTCTGGCATCTCTAACAACTTGGGTTCTCCAAGGCAATCCAGGCTTTAACTTCGTTGCTTCAGCAATGGCCTTTCTGCTAGGCTTCTATTCAGAGACACTTCTGACACATGCCTATATCCTCAACAGCTTTCTTTAGAAAAGAAGAAGCAAAAACCCATTTTTTTCTATCCTTAACTCTACAGCCAGAATTTGGCCTAAGCTGCCAAGTTCTGCGGCTTACTGGGGCTAAAACATGGCCCTCATTCAATTACATCTTCACTAGCTTTCTATTCTTCACTGCCTAGGCTTGGCTGTCTTGAAATTTGCTCTATAGACCAGACTGGCCTCAAACTCAGAGATCCACCAGCCTCTGCCTTCCTAGTACTGGCATTAAAGGTGTACCCCACCACACCCAGCTCTAAGCCTTCCTTTAATTCCTTCTCATGAGTTGGAAACTTAACTGGGCAGGATCTTTCCTGAGGTCACCACTCCCTTTATTCCATTTCTTAATTTATTTCTCTCCTTGAATCCAGAACTTAGTTCCATTCTACTTCCTGGTGCTCCTTTTCTCCTCAAATACTTTTCCTTGCTTAGTTTGCTCCTTTTCATTATAAATTTTCCTCAGAGTTAACACTAATAACCACACTATACTAGAGTCTATACTAGGCTGTTTTGAGACTTCTGCTAATGGAGTTAATTCAAAACTCTTCACTTTAGCCTCAGGCAGACTCTTAGGACAAGAACAAAAAGCAGCCACTTTCTTCACCAAAATATCACAAGAACAATCTCTAGGCAACATACTAGAATTCTTCTCCTCTGAAACCTCTTGAGTAAGCCCCTCAGGGTTCAGATAACTCTTAGCACTGCTGCCTTCCATGCTCCTACTAGTATTGCCCATTAGGCAGTGCTTAAATAATTCTACTGCTTTCCAAACCCAAAGAATCAAAGTCCAAATTCTTCCAAACAAAAACATCACCAGGCCTATCACAGCAATACCCCAGTCCCTGGTATCAACTTCTGTCTTAGTTAGGGTTTCTATTATTGTGGAGAGACCATGGCAACTCTTATAAAGGGACAATAATTGAGTACTGCAAGATATTTGATTATGCTGTGTACAAATATATCACTGTGATTGGTTTAATAAAAAGTTAAATAACCAATAGCTAGGCAGAAGGCATATGTGGGACTTCCAGACAGAGAGAGCCCAGGGAAGAAGAAAGAGGGAGTTGCCAGTCAGATGCAGTAGAAGCAGAACATGCAGGAGGAGTGGTAAAAGCCTCCAGCCTTGTGACAGCACATAGATTAATAGAAATGGGTTAAGTTAAATTCTAAGAGCTAGTTAGTAATAAGACTAAGCTAAGGCTGAGCTTTCATAGTTAATAAGAAGTTTCTGTGTCATTATTTGGGAGTTGGGACAGAGAAAGACTTATTACAATTAAGGGGGCTTGCTTATAGTTTCAGAGGTTCAGTCCATTCTCATCATGGCGGGGATGCAGGGAGACGTGGTCCTGGAGAGGTAGCTGAGAGTGTTATATCTTGCAGGCAGCAGGAAGTTGACTGAGACACTGGACAGTATCATGAGCATAGGAAACTTCAAAACCCTCTCCCACAGTGACACACTTTCTCCAACAAGGCCATCCACTCCAGCAAAGGCACACTCTCTGTAAGATTATGAGGGCCAATTACATTCAAACTACCACATCCATATTAAATTCATACCAATATTGGACTCATACTTTGATTTTTAACCGCAAAACATGATAGTAAAATGCCTTGTAGCAAGAAGGGCCAGTGATGAGTCGTAAAACAGAGAGGACTCTGGGCGAGGACTCTGGGCATGGACTTTGAAGAACAAGTAAAGGAGGCAAGCAAAGCCTTGGGAAGGGGAGTCTCACCCTTGGCCTCAAGGCTGTTGATGAGCATGTTGATGGGCAAGATAAAGGATCCTGGTAATAGGCCTATGCTGAGGGAAAAGGAATCTTTGGGTCCTGCAAGAAGGTCTGGCTCCCATGTGTGTCCATCACTGCTTGTCAGCTGCTATGGCGAGCTGTCTGCCACTTTCTCAGGGTCACTGGATGAGTGGACATCATCAGGGACAGATGATGATCCAGATCAGAGGACCAGCCAGAGGGGTCATCTGGATGGAGTGAGAGGTAGGGAGGGAAACAGGACAGGTGCATGCAATGAGCCTCAGGAGGTTGAGTTCATCCCGAGTCATACTGGCTACAGGGATATGTGACAATGTAATTGTCCATTCAATCAATATTTACTGAACACTCTTTATATCCCAGGCAGAGTGCCAGACTTTGGGCTAGGTGCTGGCAATAGAAATAACAAACTATTTCCTGATTTCTCCCCTAGGGAAAGAATTCGAGATGTGACTCTCTTTGGCCCAGACCTGATGAGCACTGTGTGTGTGTGTGCGAAAAGCAGGACTCCACGTGGATAGTAGGGTTAGGCTGAGACTGAACACCTCTGGAGGCCAGGAGTCTTCCTTGATTACTTGCCACTGTATTCTTTAAGACAGAGAGAGCATCTTGCTGACTCTGAAGCTTGCTGATTCTGCTAGACTAACTGACTTGTTAGCCCTGGGAAATTCCTGCCTCTGTTTCTCCAGAGCTGGGATTACAAGCGGACATCACGGCTCTGCTTTTTTCCTGGGGTTCTGGGCATCAAATTGAGGTCCTCATATTTGCATAATAACCACCAATTTGTTGTGTTTATTTTCTATTCTCAACTTAGCACCATTTATATTCGACAAATTATCTTTTTTGTGTTGGTTTATAAATATTTCCCTAGAAATGTAGTTATGACCTGGGGTGATGCAGAAATTTGATTTTCAGCCCTCCCCAAAGTAACAGTGTATCCAGACTGTTGGATTTAAGAAGCACATTTCAAAACGCTCAAGAGAAGCAGCAAGCGACTGAGGGCAGAGATGGCCCATTGCTGCATTTTCACATGCATGGTCACCGCGGGGGTGGGGGGAGAGGACGCCACTTTGTAGCATGAGGACTCTGCACTGTTGCCAGGGAGGGGGTCAGGAGGCAGCAGCGACTGCAGGGGGATTCCATCCCTGACTCTCTAAGGTGCAGTGCTTGGCAGTCATCTCCATCAAAGTGCGTTTCCTTTCTAGGTCAGGGTGCGTGCCCTACTGGCCCAGCACAGGCAGGGCTGCAGGATCACTCCTGTTCTCCCTGGTGAAAAGATTCCTCTCCATTACTGAAAGTGAATCTAGGAAGCAGAGCTGACGTAACCAGCAGTCCTGAGCCCTTGACTTCTCTATATGGAACTGAGATGGAATCCTCTAAGGAGTGCTTGCCATTGGAAAATTGGTTTTTGTACTAACAACTCACAGTCATTAAGAGTCAGTCACATGCATCTCTCTTCAGTGCCTTGAGGGTAACTCAGGTTATTCTGATTGAAACCATGTCACTATAGAAAGAATGGGAGAATGAATGGTACCTGGAGGAAGAAGAAAAATTCACCTCGAAACATCCAAATTTTCCTACATGGTGACGAATATTGGTTCTCGTTAGAAAAATGTCAACTTCTGCCTTACTGTGGCCCGTGGTTTCCAGGAGATGGAGGCTTTTAGGAGTCCCTTAGAAACTTCCCAGATCTGCCCCCTCCATTCAGGGTCAGCTCTGCACCCAGGAAGAATTCAGAGAATCTTGTTGCTACCAAGAATCTCACAGCAGCGCCTGTGTGAGCCAGTGTCAACGCTTCAGAACTGCTTCCTGGACGCCATCTTTTTGTAACCCCTGCACATGCATTAACCCCTCCCATGGCCAACCAAGTTCATGAAGCAGGTGTTGCCATTGTCTCTGTTTTACAGGGGAGGAAACTGAGGACACGGATTGTCTAGGAACTGACAGGTAACCAGTGACTACTGGGCTTCACACCCAGGTGGTGAGACTCCGGAGCTCAGGCTTGTCGGCATTCCCTGCAGGCTGAGCCCTGGCCTGGTGAGCTTGGTTTACATTCTCCAAGCAGATGGTTTACTATAAGAGCACTTAGGTCTGTTTACGTGTTTGGCACCCCTCTATTGGATGATTATGTATCGCCACTGGAAGTTGTTAGTTGTTATTTCTGAAGCTGACAAGTTTAGTTTTAACAATGATTTGTCTTCCTCTGCTCGCTTTCCCCCAGCTGCAGTTGTTTGGATAGTACCCTCTTCAGAACAAAAGCCAAGCAGAGATATGTTTCTAAGAGTGGATGGCAGAAGGTTCCTCATTCAAAAACTTGGTATATTTTTTTAAATTAAAAATAGTTATATTTATTTGTGTGTCTGTGTGTGTGTGCACGCGCGTGTCTGTGTATCCATGTACATCTTTGTATAACTACCAGCTGATCCCGGATAAGAACCCCAGATCCCCATGAGTTGTCTGACATGGGTACTGGCGTTAAAACTTGGGTCCTCTTCAAGAGCTGTAAGTGCTCTTGTCGGCTGAGCCGTCTCTCCAGCCTGCAGAACTCGTATTTAGCAAGTACGATTTGCCGTAGCACAAAGGCAATGCACAGCCTCTGCCATTGGGAGTCCACACTGATGCGTAAGCACCAGACCCTTCTAAATACCAAAAAAAGAGGGCATCTTTCCTTTTCCTCTTCTGTTATTTTTTAATTCGGTACACAATTTCCTTTATTTCTCCAAGGATTGATAAAGCAGTGGCCCTTTCACAATCAGTATCCCTAGGGGGAGATCAGACAAGAGAAGCTGGTAAGAGGACATTAAGACTTTAGTGAACATGGCGGCACGTGCCTACAAGGCCAGCACTCGAGAGGGAGGAGGTAGAATAAGAGGTTCAAGACCAGCCTCTCTGTACAGCGGGTTTGGAGCCAACCTATGTTACATGGGACCTTGTCTTGTCTTAGACGTACACACACACACACACACACACACACACACACACACACACACAAAATCTCTTATTAATTTGTGCTGCTTTACAACTCTTCCTCTAGTGATTCTTTGGCTTTTTACTCCCCCTCCCCCCCCTTTTTTTGCTCCTTCTTGGTCTAAAAGTGGGAAGAGAAACTCATTTCATTGTTATTATTTTCCTACCGTGCTCCTTTTCTGTGAGGTTGGGGATCACACCTGGGGTTTCCTGCGTCCTAGGCAAGTACTCTGTCAACAGAGCTCACTGTCAGTCTTTGCACACAGAAGACACAAGTGCTTTCTTGTAATCTTTAGCCTTTAGTGATCAGGAAGGGAGCACTACGCATCAGCCTGTGGGTGGAGAATTTTCCTGGGCATATTATTTTGGTTTTCCTTGTGAGATCACAGAGAAGCTAGAAGATACTGGGTTACGTTTCAGACAGCTGTGCTCGGCTAAAATGTTGTTGTGAGTTTTAGAACATATTATTTTACCGTTGTGTCTAGTTAGGAAACTCTTGATTCTTAACTATTGATCTTTAAAATATATTTCATTACATTTATTTTTTATTTTATTTTTTGTGTGAGTGGAGGTCGAGACAACTTGTGGGAGTCGATTCTCCCCTTCTACCCTGTAGGTTCCTGAAATAGAATTCTAGTGCTCAGGCTTGGCAGCAGTGGGGGGGGGCTTTTCTCCACCCCTCACCCCCAGACTCAGTGACCTTCTACCCAGCATTTCTTTCTTTTCTATTATTTTGTTTTGAGAGTCATAAGTAGGCCAGGATTCACCTTGTAGCTAAGGATAACCTGGGACTACTCAGCCTTCACCTCCCCAGATCTGTGAATGCAGGCTTGTGGCTTCCAGGCCTAGACTCACAGTTCTTGAATATGCAGTTTTGTAAGTGAACTCTAGGTGCCCCCGAAAGGGATTGGAGCTAATGGAGTGTGTAACAGCCAGGACTCGCCTTTTTCTCCAGGTCAGGATGCCGAAAGGTGGCAAAGGACCTCTACAGGACTCCTCTTGTTTATCGAGATGATCCCCTATACTCTCCAAAGTGAGAGACGTCTCTTCTGACACAGAGCTGAGGATCAGCTAAATCAAAGGCCAAGGGGCCTGAGAGAAGGAGGGGTGTGGAATGGAGGGAGTGGAGCGTGAGGCGTGGGGGTGACCTCCTCCTCCAAAGAAGTAAACAGGCCTCCCTCCCTCTTGAGTTAAAGGAAGTTCGTCCCAGTTGAAGTGTGTCCAGATCACTGCGGCGGGTTTACAAGTCATTTTAGAGAATTATACCCTGGCACAAATTTAGCAGCTTTGTTTTGCAGTAAAAAGAAATCCAGCAGCATAGTTTATTATGAAAATATGGTCCAAATGAGACTTTCCTTCATGGGTTCTTGAGTAAGTATAAATCTCATGTTAGGAAATGCGACAATTAGACACACAAGCTCAGCCATGGAGAGGGAATGGTGTTTCTTGACAAAGAGCTAGCAAATCGTGATGTGTTAGAAGTTGAAAAAGTCAGATGGCAGTGGTGGCACGCGCCTTTAATCCCAGCACTCAGGACACAGAGGCAAAGTGGATCTCTGTGAGTTCGAGGCCAGCCTGGTCTACAGAGTGAGTTCCAGGCCAGCCAAGGGTATATAATGAGATCGCCCCCACCCCATCCAACCAAAAAAAAAAAAAAGGGAAAAAAGATTTTCCTTACTTTTGTGCTTGCACTGTGTGTGTGTGTGTGTGTGTGTGTGTGTGTGTGTGCATGCACACCCAGTGCAAACACATGCATACACGGGGCTATAACAAGCAGAACAGAGTGCCAGTTTTCTAGGTGCTGGTGTTACAGGCACCTATGAGCTACCCAACACGGGTACGAGGAACTAAATTCTAATCCTCTACAAGAGCAGCAATAGCTCTTAAACACAAAGCCATCTGGTCAGCCCCCTTTTTAAAATTTTTTGATATGGGATCTCACATAGCCCAAGCTACGTAGCAGAGGATGGCCTTAAGTTTCCAATCCTCCTGCCTCTGCTCTGACTCCTATGATTACAGGGGCACGGAGTCACAGTGGGCTTGTGTAGTGTGGGGGCATGAAGACAGCATTGGCAAGCATTCTGCCAAGTGAGCCGCGCTATGTACAAAAGATGTTTTTTTGGGGAGTGGGGAGCGGGGGAGAGTGTCTCACTAATATAAAAGCCAAATACCTCAAAGTTAAGGGGAATATTTACCTGTTGCTGGCCATATCAGCGGCTCTCAGGTGAGATTTTATGATGTGATGGCCAGGCCAGTAACACGTCTGTGATATAGAAATATAAGAGCATATTTTCTCAATTGTGTGTGTGTGTGTGTGGCGGGCGAGGTGGGGGGAGAAACGCCTATGTACTTCCCAGAGCTTTATGTACTCCAGGGAGCTGGTGAAGACAGAAGTAAACTCAGGCGAACACAACCGCTGGCTTTCTCTCAAGATCCTGGAGTTCTCAAGATGCACAGGCTTTATCACTCACAGCCACACAGCAACAGTAACCAGCGTTCTATTTGTTCCTTTTAAAATGGAAGGAATCTCAGAGGGCAGAGCTCTTTACCCGACAGCCGAAAGACGCCATCCTTTGCTGTTTGATCAGCCAGGGTCGCTGCCCAGCACCCAGGAGACAGGTTCATGCCCGTGGTTCTCCCCCTTCTTTACGCTGCGGCCCTTTAATACTGTTTCTCACATTGTGGTGACCCCCAACCGTAGCACTGTTTTCATTGCTACTTCATAACTGTAATTTTGCTACTGTAATGAATTGTAATGTAAATATCTGTGTTTTTCGATGGTCTTAGATGACCCCTGGGAGGGGTGGCGATCCACAGGTTGAGAACCACCAGTTCATGCGATGTTTTTGTCAATCTGTGTTCCATGGTACACTGATTTCTTGACACCTCTCTCAACGGTCATTTGTATTGCCAAATATTGACTGCAAACTTGAAAAAAAAAAATAGGGAACCTCCCTATAACAATCACAGAATGTTAGAGCAAAAGAGAAGTGAAAGATGACTTTGGACGGACCACCATTTTGTAGAAGAAGAAACAGAAGCTCAGGGTAACACCCTGATGTTTCGTGGAGCAGGGGCACAGCAAGCCTGGGTGCTCTGGCCTCACTCAGCCCCACGCTCAGCATCAGCAGCACAAGGACTGCCTCTCACTGTCTGGCGAGTGAGCGTGTGAGGAGCTGGGGAGCTAGAAAGGAAAGTCACCCAGCACTTGACACCGAATCCAGAAGAGAAAGTAGAGTGAACACCGCCCTTTGAGTTGCTGGTGATGTCTATGCAGTGCGGTAAAATGATTTCTGTAAAAATACTGACCGCCCTGTATCAGCACTGGCTTAAAACCTGTCAGTGGCTCCATGAAGCCTATAAAGCCAAACGTCCTCACCAGCTTCCTCTCTGTGCTGATGCCCAAGACCTAGCCATGGGCGGCTTTTTCTTGGCATAGCACGCTGTGTCATTCCACCGGGCCTTCGCTCACACTGTCCTCTGCCTGTCATGGCCTCTTTGGTCACCCTCTAGGAAGATCGTGTCCTTTGTATTGGACTGTCTTGTATCTCCCTGTCCCCTCTCGAAAGCTGAATTGACATTCTCTCCCTTTTTCTATTCTTCACTGTATCCTGCCCACGCTTCTAGAGCCAGCAATGGTGGCGTTTTTGTAACATTGACTGTTTTCAAATACATAAGTAAGTCTGTTTTTCATACTTACTTCCATCTTTCTCTACCAACTGAATGTAAGTAAGACCTTTTTTTTTCACCACTAGAATCTGACTTACAGAATCTCTCTTGAATGAATTACGCCTAGAAGGCATTAGAAGGTTGCACGGATATTCTGGATGAAGCAGTCTGTTCTTGGAGTGCAGAAGTCATCCCAGAAGCATAAACATAGACACCAAGGAAAGGAACAGTAGTAGAGGGTGGATGGTAGGGACTGATTGCAAGAAAGGAGTGTCACAAAGGTTTAGGCTGAGAAATGGGGGCACGCTTGGGAAATATTGAGGTACCCAAGAGGATGTGTTTCGGTAATTTTTACTGTTGTTATTGTTAAACTGAAAGTAGTTATATATATATATATATATACTAATCAGGTTCTGTATGCCAAAAAAGAGCCTGTTTTTAAAAAGAGAGTTGGGAGAGAGAGAGAGAGATTTTGAAGATCAGTAGATTGTCTCTCAATGCTAGTGTGTATTAGGCAATGGGCAAGTTTGGAAGACTGGCAGCTGAATCCAGGTAAGACATTGCTGTAGTGAGGACCAGAGAACTAAGAACGGTCCAGGAGAGAAAGGATAAAGGCCTGAACAGGACAGTGGAGATGGAGAAAGAACAGTGGTGATGGAACAGCGAGTGGCGACTGGCTGAAGACGAGACAGGGTGGGAAACGAGGGGTCAAGGGTGACTCCAAGAGTTGATCTTGAGTGTTTACATAAATGGTGCTGTCCTGATATGGAATGCACGAAGAAAATTCCATGTGGAGCCGTGGAAGCCACAGGAAAGGGTTTGTTCAGAGAGGAGAGCTGGGTACTGGTGGTGAGGGCTGGCTGAGCTAACGTCCTGGAAGAGCCGCGATGGTACTCATCGAGGCCTGGAGGACGTCCAGCACAGGCAGCCCTGGAGTTAGCCAGTGAACCAGAGACAATGGCTCCTTTTCTCTCCTCATCCGTGCAGGACACAGCCCGAGGTTGAATTGAAACTATGATTTATGCTCAGTAGCTTCATCTAATTAGGACTGGCAAAACCGAGATGGCCGGACTGGCTCTTTCAAAAGAATTTGATAAAGAATTGAGCATCTAAAAAGAAAAGAACTGAGAGTCTCGCATTAATCTTAATCCTCATTTGTGTGAGTTGAGATGAGGAAAAGAAAGAAGTGGTTGATGAAAGAAAAGGAAGAACAGGAAGTGTTCAGCCTCTAAAAACCGATGATCTGTCAAGCATCCTCCTGCCCTGCACAGAGCCCAGGGGCTAGTTACAGGAACAATGTCAACTTACCAGGGCCAAACCCCCAAATCCAGCTAGCATGTAACGAGGCACACATATCCTCAACTTCCTTAAAACCACCCTGGCGAGAGAAAAAGTGTGGGTACTCAAAATGTGACCTGTGAAAGTTGCTTACATTGAGAGTAAACATTAAGAAACTTTAGAGCTTAAACCAAGATATTGTGTCAGACAAACACTAAGGGCTTATGTCACTGAGCTGGGTGTGGACCAGTTGGAGCACTGTGAAATTCACATGTGAGCCATGTGTGGTACGACCCGTGCACAAGCACCATGCAGGAGGGCACTTACTGAGTTTGAAAAGATTAAAAATCTATACATATTGTAAACTTAAGCCCCACAGCTAGTTGAAGCAATACTGCTTTGGTTCACACTTGTATGTTGAGAGTTCTTACTGCTAATCTGGGATGAGGAAGTGGACAGGGAGCCCGACGACACACCCAGAGCTGTACACATAAAGCGAAGAGAAACTGGATGTCGTTACAGATGATGTACACGCAAGATGGTGTGACCCCACGGTACCCTGGATGGGCAAAGTTGAATTTCAGCTGGGTTGTTTTTGCCATTGTTTTATTCTTTGCAATTGCTCGCTGACATCTCCCAGACTGTAAGCGCTAAAAAAAAAAAATCTGTGAGCATTGAGCAAGTTGTCCTGACTACAAGTAAAGACTTTACTAAAGATGGGAAAGATGGGAGGCTTTAGCCAGCTAGGAGATCTAAAGGATGTCTAGTCAAAGACTGGTGGGGTTGCTGTACCTAGTGAATAGAGAAATAGAGAAAATAAGCATCCAGCTAACAATATTGGTGTTCGCCAGGAATTCCAGCACTGGGAAGCCCAATGCAGTGTGAGCACAAAGTTCTAGGCCAGTCCAAACTACCATAGCCAGGTTCTTGTCACAAACAAGCAGACAAAGGAGCCCGAGAGGGACTTGGAGGAATCTCTATGTTTTTCCACTCATATAGAAGGCAAGGCCATTCGAAGGTCCAACCAGAAATCTGGGGTCACATTGGACTCTTTTCTTTTTCTTTTCTTGCCCCTGTTATTCTGCCCCTCTCTAGGTCCCAAGTCTTCTTATTCTGACCTTTTCTCTGCTCATATTGTCTCCCTTTCACAGGACTTTTGCAATAGCTTCCGAAATAGTCACCCCACCCTGGGCTCTTCCCCATTCTCTGTCTTTCAAAATTGAAAAGCTAATAGTCTTACTTTTTTGTTTGGGCCGTAAAATGGCTCTCAGTTTCACTTCCAAACTGAAGCAATACCTTAGCCGTGTATGCAACGTGGCCGCTCCCGACTGCTCCTTATGCGGCTCCTGTATGGCCCAGGGTTTGCTTCCAGGCTAGTTTATTCCATGCTTGGTGACTCTTGAATTCGGCCACACTATAGTACTTCTGAAATCACCCCAGGGCTGGACCATGATATCCCATGCCTCTGTGCCTTGGTTTCTGCTATTCTGTATGCCCACAATGTCCTCCACTCCCACACCTGGCTGGCCTGGCCATCTGCATGAAATTTTTTATTGCTGCTATTATGGCTTGCCACAATCTCAGTGACTCAAAAGTATTTGAACATCTTATTATTTGGTGATTAGAAACATGAAATGAGACTGACCAGGCTGAAGTCCCAATGTCAGCATGATTGCTTGCCTTTCAGGACTCAGAGAAAAATCTACTGTTTGCCATTTTCTCATTCAAGCCAGAGTTCGCCAACACTCCCCTTTAATGGTTGTATAATGACTATACCCTGCTTCCACTTCCTGTCTCTTTCTCTCATGTTTCTTTTTCTTCTTTTCTTCTTCTTCTTCTTCTTCTTCTTCTTCTTCTTCTTCTTCTTCTTCTTCTTCTTCTTCTTCTTCTTCTTCTTCTTCTTCTTCTCCTCCTCCTCCTTCTCCTTCTCCTTCTTCCTCTTCTCCTTTTCCTCCTCCTCTCTTCCTCCTCCTCCTTCCCCCTCTTCTTCTTCTTTTTCTTCTTCTTTGTAGAAGACCCCATCAGGCCCTCCTGAGTAATCTAAGCTTCACATCTCCCTTGAATTTGCCATGTGTGAAACATCCCCTCTGCCAGGTAACCTCACCTTTACAGATTTAGAGCAGGGACATGTTTGGGAACTCACGACCCAAGCACCCAACCCTGTGGAATTCTGTTTGGAGCCTCCTCTTGAAGCTGTCACGTGCATGTGCATACCACCATGGTCGACTTGCCAAGCGTGTGTGTTTTCAAAGCCTATCTTGTTTCTCTATTGTGCTTTGGCTTCCTAAGGGACAACATACTTGTTCTCACCCCCCCCCCACCCCATGCCTGGTTCACTACAGGGCATACACGATGTATGAGCTAATTTTATTTATCAAAAGCCAAAGTGCTGGGCACCATGATGATTCATTTTTTATGTTACTTGGGCATGAAGATTTAATTAATGATTAAAGCTGTAATACGACTTTATGTGGTAGTGCAGGCCTTTAATGAAGCATGCAGTGGTGGAGGCAGGTGCATCTCTGTGAGTTTAAGGCCATCCCGATGTATATAGGGAGTTCTAGGCCAATCAAGGCTATACAGTAAGACCCTGTCTCAAACAACGAAACAAATAAACAAAATATATAAGAACCGCAGGTAAGAATGTTTTTTCTCTTACATAGCTTTTGTGATTGTCTCGAGGCAGAATTAATCATTTCCTCATTTGAGTTGCAACGGTATCACGTCTGTGTCTACTTTGCACGCTTTATGCTGTGTTTTACTGTTACATCGTATGTGTTCTTAGTTTGATTATGCCAGTGCTAGGCATATGGCATGTGTGTAGCGCTGTTTATTAAATGACACTGAGAGTATAAACAGAGCGTGGAGGGCACTGGAAGCCAAAGATGAAAAGGGCGCCTTCGATGGCCGGTAAGGAAGTGGAGAAACTGAGGGGACCCTGCACACTGTTTGGAAGGCTCTAGGACACAGTGTGACGCTGGTTGGAGCTGGTTGTTTCCCTCTGGCCAACTAGTGAGCGGATCCAAACACACTGAGCTCTGGACCTGGGCAATCAACAAGAAAGGCCACTGGAGCTGACAGTTAAGCAATAATGGGAAGCATAGCTCTGTGAGGGTCCCCTCTGAGCCCTGGGTCTACTTCCATTTTTAAAAAACAGTATTCAAAGAAAAGGTAAACCAGAGCTCTCCTGAGATCATGCTGCTGGAGTGCCTGGTGACAATGACCCCAGCCAGATCTGTGTTGGTGTGGGAGTCCTGGTTCTCTTGTGTGGTACTGACAGGGGGGTTCCAGGTACGGGTGGTAGGAATTGCTCTTGGGGAACACAGTGTCCAACAGGGCATGCTCCCCCTTTTGTAAGAAGAGACTTCTTGTGGAGCACAATCTGACTCGCCCGGCTTTTTAGCGTTAACAATAAAAGTGCCAAAATCTGGTTTCAAAACTAAGAGCGGCTTCTCTTCCATGGGACTTCTTTTAGGATGATAGTATTTTGGGTGTGGGGAGAAGGCAGTCCTCCTCTGCCTGCCTTGAGCTTGAGTCTCCTGTCTTCCATCAACACTGCCTTCAGCCACATATTTAACTTGTGATCTGCCTGGCCAAGCTCTGCAGCCAGCTGCCTGCCATGACCCTCACAAAGTCTCACCCAGACAAACTCCTGTGTCTGCCACTCTCTTGGATTTCCGCCCCAAGAATTTTGCATATCATCTTATTTCTATCACTTGCACATGTAGCTTCCTAGATCAGGTGACAGACATCAGATACGTGAGATGTTCCCAAAAGGAGTAAGGTTGGATCTTAGGGAATAAAATAATTAATTAAAGATTGTATAAAGTTCATATATTCATACAGTCATTTAGGCTGTGGAAAGTTGATCTTTATGGTCCAGTCTGCCTCAGAGGTCCAAGACCTAGGAGCACTGCCACCCGAGGGTGGGGGAAGACATGTGCCCCAGCTCCAGAGGGAAATATTTATCCTTCCCCCACCTATGTATTTTACTAGAGTCTTCACTGGTTCTAATGACGCCCACCAGAACTGGTGGGTATGATCTGAGAGCACCAATAGCACTGCTCCTG